AGAGAGAGAGAGAGAGAGAGAGAGAGAGAGAGAGAGAGAGAGAGAGAGAGAGAGAGAGAGAGAGAGAGAGGGAGGGAGTCTTTCCGGCACTCAGAGCAACAGAACGGGGACTTCCCTGGATGTAGCTGAACCTGGTTGAGGCCAGATTCAGACCAGAAAGTGCAAGGCTGAGTATGCCCTTAGTGGCGGAAAACGTCACTGGCGCAGCTGTAGAGGAGGGGTTCCTTTTTCTCACTATTTATATAATGGCAGAGGAGACAGAGGCATGGTAGAGGATAGATAGGGCTATATACTAGTTTAAATTTTCCTTACCTTTTCAACCGTGGAGTGATCTCAGTTGAGGCCTCAAACATAAGTGGGAGAGTAGGGATGGTGACGAAGGAGATGGTGGAGAGAGTGCTGGCGAGAAGGGAGGTGGGACAGGGAGGAGAGGGGAGGGAGAGAATGGAGGGCGTGATGGAGAGAGAGGAGGTGGGAAAGGGAGCCGAGGGAGAAAGGAGAAGGGGAAGGGAGTGGAGGGAGGAGACGGTGTATGCACTGATGCAGAGGAATTGTACCTTAGGAGAAGGGAGGGAGAAAAAGGTAGGAGGTACTAGTCTGGGCGCTGAGCGCCAGATAGGAATTCGACATTGGTTCCTTGTTGATGATGATGAGACTATTCCAGCATTGCCACTTGTGAGCTTTTTAAAAAAAAAAATAGAAAAAAGAAAAAGGAAAAAGAAAAAAGAAAAAAGAAAAAAGAAAAAAAATAGAAAAAAAAGAATAGAAGTTTCTTTCGAGCCTTCGAATTTTTATTTTTTTTTGGTAGGAAGAGGGAGAGTAAGGAGGGGGCGATGGCAGAGAAGACGCCGAGACGAAGGAGGGGATTCATCTTTTGTGTGGAGGTCGTTAATAGGCTGGCCGTTGACGCCGACGACACTGGGAGGAGGAGACGATTGGGTGGTCTCTTTGGGGTGTAATTGACCGCAGCTATGGCCGATACTGAATGCATTTGACCGCAATCACGTCCTTTTCCTTTTCTATTTAGAGCGTTTACTTAAAGTTGTACTTTTCTGGACGTATCTGACCTCAGTTATGGGCTCTCCTGAAAGTATCTGACTGGAATTACGTGCACAGATCGGTTTGAAATGGCCTCGTTCGAGAGGATTGTCTGCGATCGTGGTATTGACTCATAGGGAGGAATACCTGGCAAGAAAAGTTATGGCCTTGCAAAGCGTTGACCGTTCTTTTTTTTTTTCATGTTCGTTGGAGGACAGTTGACTTTTCTTCTCTAATTGCCGTACGCACTTTATCACAAAATCCAGATCTATTCGTGTTTTTTCTTTTTTTTTTAATCCCCGGGTTCTTTCCATTGTAGGGTTAATAGCAAAAATATTGCTGTTTCGAAGTTTGGCAGCAAAAATGTCGTCCGTTCGAAGTTTCCTTTGCAAAAATAGAGGTTTCGTTGCAGCTTTATCGCGTTCCCATAGTTTGCCAGCAAAAATACGGCGTTTTGCCCAGTTTCAGGGCGAAGGACCCCTAGGCCTCTGGCCTCAGGGACTCAGGGAATCAGCGTTCTGGCCTGAGGCACTCAATGTTTTTTTTTTTTGGGGGGCAGGGCCGACGCATCTGGGCATACCCACGGCGGAGATGCCTCGGCCACGGCCGCAGAAAAAAAAACGCCCCCGGAAAAAAAAAAAAAAAAAAAGAAGAAGAAGAAGAAGAAAAAAAAAAGAGACAACTCCGCGGGTGACCGCTGCACAGTTTCGAATTCGCAGGAATAACAGTCCACTCCAAGCTTGGGTGAAGACAAGTTCGAAACTCCAAGCTTGGGCGAAGACAAGTTTGAAACTCCAAGCTTGGGCGAAGACAAGTTTGAAACTCCAAGCTTGGGCAAAGACAAGTTCGAAATTGCATTATTATTATTATTATTTTTTAATCTCGGCCATGGGCCAGGCATTGCGGCCGTGGCCCAGCCACGCCATGGGATGCTCTCTCTTTCTTTTTTTTTTTTCCCTTTTTTTTACCTTGGCGGCCCAGCCACGCGACGCGATGCTCTCTCTTTCTTTTTTTTTTTTTTCCTTTTTTTTACCTCGGATGTGGCCGAGGCATCGCGGCAGCGGCCAGCCACGCGACAGTGCTTAAAAAAAAAAAAAAAAAACGAGAGTGAATCTCCCGCTAGAACATGGAAAGATGCACCGCGAAATTGCACTATTATTAGCCGTGGCCCAGCCACGCGACGGGATGCTCTCTCTTTCTTTTTTTTTTTTTTCCTTTTTTTTACCTTGGATGTGGCCGGCAGTGGCCAGCCACGCGACAGTGCTTGAAAAAAAAGAAAAAAAACGAGAGTGAATCTTCCGCTAGAACATGGAAAGATGCACCGCCACGAGGCCCCAAGGATGACAGGCATAGGTTGTTGTCAGCCCGTGTATCTCGTTGGGCCCCTGTATCCCCTTTGCACAAAAGACAAAAATCATGGCGCTCCTGATTTCCGCCAATATGCGGAGGGCACTGGGCAACAAATTTGCTAGTATCAACAGCGGAGGTAAATTAGAAATTGCTGACTGGTTGTTGAAAGCATAAGCCACACTAGACAGTCCCTTTTGATTAAGAGACAGTTTGATCTGGGGTCCTCTATGTCCCGCTTGCGGGTCACTACTTCTGTCCTCCAGTTGCTTCCTTTATATCTTTTATCCTTAATTAGTCCAGTTGCTGTTTTTTTTGCTGAAAGAGGCTTTATGGGACGCTGGACCCGGTTTCCAGCACAAGCCTAAGCTGGGTAGTGGCCCCAGTTTTTCCTCTGGGTTGAAATGTCGAGGTTTTCCCGGCCTCAATTGATGATTTGGAAATAAAGCTATCTTTCTCAAAAAAAAAATAAAAAAAATCATGGCGCTGTGTCTTTCCATGTTCTAGCGAAGATTCACTCCCTGTATCTCGTTGGGCCCCTCTGCGTTTCCGGTAGGCCGTCGAACGCATTTTTCCTTGCAGTTTCGAAATTGTCTTCGCCCGAGCTTGGAGTTTCGAAATTGTCTTCGCCCAAGCTTGGAGTGGACTGTTATTCCTGCGAATTCGAAACTGTGCAGCCGTCACCCGGGGAGTTATTTCAAAAAAAAAAAGAAAAAAAGAAGAAAAAAAAAAAAAAAGCTGAGTGCCTCAGGCCACAACGCTGAGTCCCTGAGTCCCTGAGGCCAGGGGCCTAGAGGTCCGTTGCTGTGAAACTGGGCAAAACGCGGTATTTTTGCTGGCACCGGAACCCCATAAAGCTGCAACGAAACCTCTATTTTTGCAAAGGAAACTTCGAGCGGACGACATTTTTGCTGCCAAACTTCGAAACAGCAATATTTTTGAAATTAACCCTTTATTGTATCAGGGATAGGTGCTTCCATTGTAATATTGTTTTTTCCAAGACTGATAAGTGCAGAGTCTGACAAGAATTGAACTTTATGGCCAAGCTCTATTTGACTGTGTTCATCTATCCTATCTAGTCTGCTCTGTGGATCAGGAGGGGGTACATGTTTTTCTGGTTGGCTGTCGGCGACTATCTTGGGCTGCCTCTCGAACTTTGGGTCACTCTTGCCGCGCCTCGACTTTTGGCGTGGTCATGAAGGGTAGAGGACTGACCTGCTGACACTGGATCTTTCTGAGGTTATCTGGGGTCTTCTCTTATGCCTGGGCTACGACGTGGATTCTGGGCGATTCTGCCGCGTCTTTACTTCTTGGCATGGTCACGAGAGGTCGGGAACTGACCTGCTGCCTCTGGATCTTTCTGAGTTTATTTGGAGTTTTTTTTCTCTGCTGGCCTGCATCTGGACAAATTTTTAGTACTAGGTTCCTGCATAGTTAGTATGAATATAGACGTTCTTTAGGGCTATCTGAGTTGTTGGCTCTACCTTGAACGGAGTCGAACCGACTCTTTCTCTTGGATGCAGTGTGGATGATTTGGTGCGGTGGGTTTTTTTCATGCGGAGCATTGGTCTAGCATTAGGACTACTTACAGAAGATGTGAGCACTGTCCTAGGCCTCCTCCATCGTGACGATTGACCCCTGATGATGGCCTGGCTGGCGACCAGCTGAAACGTGCCTAGGGTCGCACTTTCGTAGCTAGCTGGTTTCCGTTGAGTGGGCTAATTTCCGTCAGGAAGTTGCCAGAATTTTTTTGCACGAGCTAGCTATTGATAGGTTGTTCTGTTCATGGACATTGTTCAAAACGACCTATCAGGGTCGCGTTCGGGAGACTTATGGTGTTGATATTCTCTTTTCCTCCTTCTATGATTGCTGTATCTTGTCTTCCTTTGGTGGCTTTTCCTGGTGTGATCCTGTGCATCCTGTTGTTTTGCTCACCTCGGGTTGAGTTTGCTATCTTTACACTCGTCGTAGTGTTTTGATTCATTACCACCTCTACGTGTTAGTAACCGCCGTAGGAATTGGACTACGGGCAGTGTGGCTGCACTTTGACCGGTATTTGACTTCACGAAGATGGCTGCTCCATTCGTGCGTACGTGTTACAAGTGCGGTGCACTTGGACACTTTTCTAGGGAATGCCCTCACCCTCGTAGGGTGCCGGCAACTGGTGCTAACGCTACTACTCTTAATACACCTCTACTTGCTCTACTGGCGCCGACTAGTGGCCCTTCAGCTTTCACCCCTGCTCATGTGGCTCCAGTGGGGCCGGTGTACGGTGCAGCGAGTTCGGGCTATCAGTGTGGTACGGGGTACTGTGACGAACCATTTTTTGTAGCACGCGACTTTCTGCGCGATTGCAATGAGGGGTCCTAAGCTGGGAAGGTTGGGCCAATTACGGGAGATTGGGGTTGGAAGGAAATTGCATCGGTGCCCTCGTTTCTTCGTCTTTTTCGTCGCCTCTTTTCGGATGGTTGGGTTCAGGGCCAGGTGAGTCCGGGGACAATCGATTGATTGATTGGCTGTGTCTGCGGCGCGCCGCCGTGCGCGCGATTAATAACTGTTGACGTCGCCTCTTTTGTTTCGGTTTTGGAATTTGGGCGAGGACATCGCGCGGGACTTTGCTTCGTTGTTTTTTTGAATTTTTGAATTCTTATCCGAATCTTGCCGAGCCCCGATGGCTCTCGGAATTTTGGACTTTCTTTTCGGAACTTGTGCTTTTGCTTTTTCGCATTAGGTAGGAACTTAGGAATTTTGTAATTAGGACTTTCTTTTGCCGCGCGGCGCCTTTTGCTTACGCGCTTCTTTATGCGGCCGCAACGGAATTCTGATTAGTCGGCGCCTTTAATCGGGTGTGTAACTGTAATTTTGGACTGGCGCCATTGTAACTGTATCTTTCTTCTTGTGCTTCGTCTTTCCCGCCCCTCTTCTCTTTCTTTTGCTGCGTTTTTTGTAGCCACAGTCTGCATGATCGGATCGATGCATGGAGAGCGGCTACGTCCCCCACGCCGCGTTCCGGCCATGCAGGCGTAGGCAATCCCTCCCCCTAATCGTCCTTCTAAGTCCTTGTAATTCCATGTTCTTTGCGCATGCACGCACGCTGTAAATTCCAGCTGCGCGATTAGTTAGCTCTCTTAACCAGCTGTTGGAAGCTCAGGGTTGCCCGATCAGAGAGGGTCTGCACACGAGCGAAGTAAGAGGTGAGTAGAGCAGGAGTCGGGCGACCCGACGAGCTGGTGCCATATGCGCGGGGTTGACGCCGGCCACGACGGACTGTGGGCGCGGGCGAACCTGACGGGTGCGGGAGGGCTAAGCGGGGTGACGGCTTCGTGGGTTGGTGCGCGACGACGGACTGTCCCCATCGGAGAGAGAGAGAGGAAGAGGGAGCTGAGGTTGATGGATGCGTATTTGCTGTTTCTTTTATCTTTTCCCCTCCTATCTCGTGTATATAAATTTTGATTTCGGCTCCGGGTGGTTTGCCCGTTTCTGTTTCTCGGAATTTGGATTTGGTTTTTTGCTCACCCTTGTCCTCGCAATTTCTCGTCTGGGATATGGTGTATGAATGAATGAATGAATAGATGACATGTTCGGTTGCTTGTCTCCCTGCCGGATCCTTGCCTTTGCCTTTGTGACTGCCTTTGATGCACTCATGAGTAGGATGGGA